ACAGCCATCATTAAAATGTAAAATTTTAATAAATCCCCACTGATTTATCCTTTCTTTCCAAATCAACAAATGAGTAGATGTGTGCCAGACATTCCTCAAGGTGAACTTGAAGTTCACCCAATCTTTCCTGAGAATTCAGGGCCAGAATGAATAACGTAATCTTCAACAGTCTAAAATTTCTTCAGCTTAAGTCATTCCACTAGCTGAAGATTGTGGCTTTCCCTGACTAGCATCGAAAGCTGGGAGTCACCATTCTTGAGAGCTCCATAGATGTGGTGATGGGATTAAAAGATTTTAGAAGTGAGGGTAAATTGATAAAGAATGCTTCATGCCACAAAGTCACCTAATTCTGCCCAAGAAAACACTGTAAGTTTTAATCAGCACTTTTAATTTGCTGTGAACACACAGATGATAGAGCCGTTTTGACAAGGGATAATTGCCAAATATTTGGTTATGACATTTCTCCTTTGATGAAAAACAAATCAGATAAAATAATGCGATTTTCTGATGTAAATTAGTCACAGGCATGTCATACCGAGGATCTTACAGAAATTCTTGATGACAACCCTAAACATGAAGAAATAAATGCAGGTTTACAACTTCTATGGTTCATGTTTTGAACTAAAATCTCTACTCATTCACCTACCACCCTCAAAATTGATCTAAATTGAGAATTCAGGCACAAAATGTAGTGATATGCTTCAAGAAGTACAGTTCCCATTCAGCTTTACATCTTCCAAAAAAATATCTCCAATCCATCAAAAATGGGCACTTTGTCTCTCATCCCACTTCTTGCCATTAGAACACTATTGCCTCATTCATCCACATCCATCTCTAGGAACCATGTCTTCTGTATATCTTTCATGCTAAATCTTTCTGCCTCCATGACCAGAGCTGTATAATTCCTAAGTACATCTTTCACACAGCCTACAAGACTCTGTTCTATTATTATACTATGACATTGGCACTAGCATCGCTGGCATTACTGCTCACCAATTAATGTGATTACACATGGTTAAACATGCTGTCTTGTAAACACAAGCTCTTCTCTGTCACCATCACAAGAAAACTTTCCTTCTAAAGTACAGGATGCAGAAAGTCATAGCCCACCCCATTCCAGTCCTATTTTTAAAAAATCGGTAAAACTTGGCTGTATCCCTAGAACTTGGCTGAGTGCAGGTGACAGTCTCTTTCTGATGTTCTGGTGTTAAATGATTGCTCCCTGTCTCAGACATCTGATTGTTTATTTTACAGTATTTTATTGCTGCATTTTGTGCAGCAATAATTACCCAGCTACCCAGAGTTGTAATAGATTGTGGGTGGATAGGTATTGTACTTTTAATATATTTCTTGTCAGATGAAATTGGTCTTATATTGAGATCAGGGTCTACACTTTGCCTGTCATTTCTTGAATTGTATGCTATACTAATTTCACATTGTTTTCAATAAATGGTATGATTTATTTATTCAGTAAAAACTTTAGACCATTTTCTCTAAAGCACTAGTAGATGTATAAATTAAAGTCACTCACAGTACAATACAGAGTGATAATAATGTAAGATGCATATAAAATCATAAACCAGTAACAATAATAATATCTCCATATTTGGTGTGGATTTTTCGTCAAAAGCATTCTGGAAAAGCCAGAAGTTAATTCTCTGAAAGACCATTACAACAGAGGCCTTTGACAGGCTGCTCCAAGAACTCTCCAAGCCTCTTCCAGTCTTACTTCTCAAAAGGAGTAGAACTTCAGTAGATGCTTCCATTTACCTGGTCAGTTGACAGAATTTATTTGGCACAGATGGAAATCTACCCAGGTCCTATCCAGTATCTTGAATTGCATTCAGAAACCAACTGGTGGTCAGGGCAGCTCCTGTAGCAACAGAATTATGTGACAGCACTGTCCTTTATGCTCCCATTCCCAGGTAGACCAAATTGCAATAACTGAATCCTGAGGTGAAAATACTGAGCAACTGTTTTCACTATGTTCTGTTCTAGGCCACACTGAAATACCAGATGAAGCTGGACAAAGAACTCCTTGCCACAGCCTTCATCACAGCAGGAAGTGTGAGACTAGGAGGATTCCAAATTGTGAGGTTACTCTCTTAATGGAGAAACACAACCCCATCAAAAGTCAAAGTTGGTGTCACCCCAAAATCAATTGGGTTCTAAGCCAATTGCTTGCTTGGGCTGAATCTGGTTCTTGGCAAGTTCCAAGCACCAGATCAGGACTTCCACCAAAACTCTTTAGTCTGGAGTGAAGATGTATAGCTAGGGATCATTAGCATATTTATGAGAACATAGTCCATACCAACAGATGACCTTTCTCAGTGTTTCATTTCCTGGCTATTCATCTTTAGGGATCCTGGGCTTTAACCTCTGTTGGATCATTCAAATGTCTTGACGCTCACCTCCTGCTGAAATCCCACTCTCATGATATATGGCTTCTTGTTACATATTGGGTTTAAAGGTTGTTACTTGACACCACCCACTTTTCACTTGTCACACACCTGCTTACAACAGGTGTGTTATAATGATTAAAGTTCTGTACTAGGAGTGAGGAGGTCTAATTCTGGTCCACTGCCCCCCCACAGAAGCTCCTGGGTGACCTGGGCCAGACATTCCCTCTGAGTTAACCTAGCCCATAGGTGGCACATGTTGTCTTGATCTGCACGCAAAGCAGGGTGTAAATATGTGTAAACATCTTTTTTATGCTATGATTTTTCTAAGTTTAAAAGACATGGCTTCTTACAGTGTTTTTAAAAAACAATTTAAAGTTTCATTCTTTCAACTTTCGTAGACTTGGAAGATACTCTTGTATTATAGTAATAATATATTATATCAATGTTTAATATCCATCTGGTTTATACAATTCTATATTTGCATTTATTATCACTACCATTATCTAATGACTACAGTCGCATAATGTATAGTAGGACACTATACATGTCTGTTGGAAGTAAGCTCTGCTATGTTCAATGGAATTTAGTAGGTAGTGGAATTAGTGGAAATGTAGCCTTAATTTCTAGTGGGAGGAGAAAAATCATGCTGTAACACATTTGTTTGCATGCCTCATCCATCCTCCTTGTCTGTATTTGTTCTCTTCTATGGCTGAGCTTTACTACCATGCTCATAGGAGCACACGTTCTACCATCTCTGCTTTAACTATTAATGCAAACTGGACCTTCTGCTGCTTTATTCTTCACTTCACCCCCTTGGCCAAAGCCCATTTACATATAAGCATCAATAGATCCAAGCACAGAATTTGAAGGGCTGTTAAAAATCAACTCACTTCCTTTGGTCCTGGTGAAACTAGTGGTTGATGCTTTCTGTTGTGTAGTGCCTTTAGCTATGCAAAGCATTATTCAGGCAAATGTTGAGAGAGAGTGTTATTCTAACTTCAAACTTTATTATACTAAGTTGTTACAATATGCAGTTTTCTTTCCTATAGCCCAGGAATATGAAACTTTCACTCCACTTGGCTGCACCATAGAATTTTTAGAGCTCTAAGGTTATGTCTCCTTCCCTTTCCTCATCAGTTCTCAGTGGGAAATCACAGCTCTAATCCCTTGCCATATTCCTCTCCTAGCTGCTTGGCCCACTTTAAGAAAAGCTGCAGGAAGATCACCCTTGCAGCTGTTTCCCCTGGAAGCCCCTCCAGCTGCAGCTTTCATGCAAGAACCACTTAGTTATTCTGGTCCCTTTGAACCAGGTTATCCTGGCAAGCTGAATGACAGCTTGAAGAAAGTGAAGGGGTTGGTTTTGGCACACCTTTTCCCATGTCATCTGACTCTTTGGAGGGACCTGGGGGGGGGGTCAAGATTGTGGGACAGTTCTGGTTTCCATTTCATCCCATGAGAAAGCCTGGGGATTGGGGCTGCTCAGTTCTTCTGATTTTATTCCAAAGGGGGTTCTGGACTGCAGAAGTATGTGAATTGCATTTCTCTTCAATTCTAAAGCAACTATATTTTCTCAAGATGACTGCAGAGAAGTGCAACATGGTCCAGGGAAAAGATACAACTATCATGGACAAATGCAGACAGGTGATAGGTCTTTTTGCTCCTTTTAAAAATTATTTCTGCTGAGTCTTGTAGGGCATGATGGACAATCAATGGCCATCTGCATTTAGGCCAAGATACTTGGCATTGCATTCATTGAATTCCAAATCACTAAATACTGTAACTCTCATTTTTCAGGCTGTTACTAGAACTCATGAAATGAAACCAAATCAAAAAACCTCTGCAAACGAAATTGTTCCAACAGTGAAGTCCTGTAAGCCTATTGCAGACTTGAATGAGAGAATGTGGGAAGCTGAGAACAGTGTTCCAGGATATCATTGTGGCTTAGAAGCCTAAGGGAAGGATTTACTTTAGGTTTGGCTCAGGTTGCCAAATGCTTTGGGCCAGTCCTGATGCTGTTGTCCCCATCACTTCATGGCTTTGTATTCATGGGGTTTTGGATGAGACATAGTTTAGGCTGAGTCATTCCTGGAACAGGAATACCATTTGCAGAATTTTGAGCAATGAGTATGTAAAATGCATAAATAAACACAGTATCAAAAAGATTAGGAAAAATGATACCCTCTGAGAGCTTTGCAGAAATGGGAATTATAGTTCTGCACGATTCTGCCTGTATCTATGCAATGCCCTGGCCTTCACTTCAGGGGTGTGTATTTATGTCTGTGATTTATTTACACTATTATTGTCATCAGATAATCACTGCAGAGCAGCAATGCTGAGTGGTTCCTGCTCTTCCTGATGAAGAATTAGAGCAGCATGTACCTTACTAAAGTTTCATAACGCCATTTCTAAAAAGTACAATTCATTTGCATTTCCCAAAAGACTTGGTATAAGGAACCAAGCCAAGCTTCCCTCACCCTTGCTGGGAACCTTAACTGGTTATTTAAGATGGGGGGGGGGGGAGAGACAAAGGTCGAAGTCTGGAAGTCTGCGAGGAGTGGATATGCCTGAGGAGGAACTGGGGGGGGGAAGTAAAGCAACTGGATTGGAAGGTTGCTGTCAGCAGGGGTGCAATAAAATTGTATGTATTTACTTGTTACGCTTCCGATGACCTGGGATGCGCCTTGAGATTCACACAACCTGCCTTGACCGGCGGGGTTATTGGCCGAACCAAACAGGGGCGAAGAAATGCCAGGCGGGAAAATGCCACCATGAGCGAAAGTCTGCTCTGCGAGGACCACCCTTCCACTTGTCCGCTCTTGTCCTCCGCGAAGCCGGAAGTGAAGCGGACAATGCGCCCAAGGGACGGGGCGGGCTTGCAGCCCCCGGGCGGACTCCTGGCTTCGTCGGTAGCGGCGACCGCAACGCCCTAAATCCATCCTGCAATCGCTCAGCCGCCGCCGCCGCCATGCTCTAGAAAGCAGAGGCCGGCCGAGCTCCGTCCCCGCCGGGCTCTTCCCAGTAGAGTCGGAGGGCCAGGCGCCCGCTCACCCCCAACCCCGCAAGGCTCCGGCTTCGAGAGCATCGGGCGGCCGGGCGCGCGCGCTCGCAGCCGACGGGAGAGTGAGGCGGAAAAGGAGGCGGGGTCGAGGGAGCCTCAGCGCGCATGCCCGCCAGCCGCCCGCCCGGGCTGCACCAACCGCGGGCTCCGTGTCCGAACCTCCGCAGAAAGAGCGCGGCGCCAGAGCTGAAGAGCGCCGGGCAGGCGGCGGCCCCCCCCGGCTGGGACCACACTAGGACAGCCGCGGGGCGTCCGGAGGAGGGCCAGGCGGGCCGCGCCGCGCCTCTTCAGGAGAGCCGCCGGGTTTGCGCCACGCAAAGTCCCGCTCCTGCTTTGGTTCGGGCAACGGAGCAGTGCGCGTCCTCGGCCCTGATGCATGGGCGGCCCACGCGCCTGCCCGCCCGGTCCGCCCGAAGGTGTCATCGGCGATGTCGCACCTCTGCAAACTCCCGGGACTCGGCCGTGAGACTGGGGAGCGCGCGGTGGAGCAGCTGAGCGCCAGGTCTCCGGACCGCGCGTCGGGCATGCAACCGGGCGGCGGCCATCCCTTAGCTCCCCCAACAGGCGCCATGGCCATGGCTATGGATGGCGGCGGCGGCGGCGGGGGGGAAGAATACCACTCCCATGCGCATCACCGGACCTCCGCGGAGCCCCCGCTGACCGGACCGTTGCACCCCGCGCTGACTGAGAGCTGCCAGAATCCCGCCGGGCTGACCGGGAGCAGCAGCTACACTACTCTGACGTCCCTGCAACCGCCCCTGCCGCCCATCTCCACCGTTTCGCCCAAGTTTCCTCACCATCCCCAGTCACTCCCGCACGCGCATCACAGGTTGGCGGGCAACTTTACTCTCTTGTCCGACAATCTTTACCCCTCACCCTACCCCAAAGAAGTGGCCGGCCTGGGACAGACTCTCTCTCCATTGGGCGGGCTCCACATCACCCAGCAAGCCCTGTCGTATTATGCCGACGCCGGAGTCGCCATGCCGGCCGAGAAAATGCTTACCCCCAGCGGCTTCGAAGCGCAGCACCCACCCCTCTTAGCCCGGCCGGGCGACCAGCATCTCTCCCCGACTACAGCCTGCCTGGTTCCGCTTGGCGGGATCCCCCGCCAACCTCACACCCATCTGAGCGCCCGAGGGCACGGGCAGATCCAGGCGTCCTCCAGGGAACCTAAGCCCGCCGCCGCCGCCGCCGCCGCGCAAGGGAGCGCCGGGAATCACTCAGGGCGGCTGGAAGAGATCAACACCAAGGACGTGGCCCAACGGATAACCACCGAGCTGAAGCGCTACAGCATCCCGCAAGCCATCTTCGCCCAGAGGGTCCTCGGCCGCTCGCAGGGAACGCTTTCCGACCTGTTGAGGAATCCTAAGCCCTGGAGCAAGCTCAAATCTGGGCGGGAGACCTTTCGCAGGATGTGGAAGTGGCTGCAGGAGCCCGAATTCCAGCGGATGTCTGCACTCCGATTGGCAGGTGAGGGGCAGCGATGTGGGCACAGGCTGAGGGGTAGGGCCGACCTTCCTGGGATCCCATTTTAGAACTCTCGCAAGAGAGGCAACAGTCGTGCCGTCCCTCACTCTCTCACCTACGCCCGGTGGGAAAAGAGAAAAGGAGGCTCTGGGCTTCGGGAACCAAGGGCGGGCCAGGTGGGCCCGCCTACGAAGTCTCCTCCCTCATCCTGCCCAGTGCCAGGGACTGCAGGACGCCCCGAGGTCCCAGGCCTCGCTGCAAACGTTGCTCTGATGTTCCTGACAGTGTAGGGCCGCCTCTCCTTGTACACGAACCCAGCCTCCAGACGGAATGCTGCTGGTACCTTTCTGGAGTGTTTCCAGACCGGCAGAAAGCTGGTGGGAGTTGGCTTGCCAGTCAAGTCCGGTAGCGCTTGATTAGCTTTTCTAATTTTCCCGGGAAGGACAGAAGCCCTTCCTAGATGGTTGTAGGTCGCCTCCGGGGGTCTGGCTGGATGGGCTGGTCGTGGGAAGGCTTTGCATGCAGTTGAAAAGTTCTGTGCTTCGGAGGAGCAGGAAAACAGTAGGGGGAAGAAATGTTTGCCCCGTAAGTGAGGATCTTGATGCCGAATGAAGTTTTGTGAGGCTCAGGCTCTTCCCTCGCCCAGAGGAAACTGAGGAGTTGGCTGGATCCAGACGTTGATGGAACGGGTTCTGCACGCCGACAGCAGAGGAGGCCAGGACTCAAGAATTTAAGCGCCAGAGCAACGGCTGCCCGCGGTGTGCTGGGCGGCGGATTCCTGCAGCTGGATTCTATTTCTCTGGTAGGGCAGTGAAAGGCTGGCTGGCCGGGATATTTTCCTGGCTGACCCTCTGACATAGGCCACCAAGCACCTTCTTTTCCCGTTGGGGAGTTGGCCGAGTTTGCTTGGAAAAGTGGGGCGCGGTGGCCGGCCGTAGGCGGCAAGAAGTGTTCCTGCTCTTGGAGTGGGAAGGCGGCTTGTCCCTTTTTGGCGTAGAAAGCAACTCTCCTTTCCTGAGATGAAAAGGAGATAAGGCTGCTCCAAGTCGACCCTCCTCGGCCAGGAGCTGCTTTGCTCTTGCTGAGGCTTCTTTGTTTTCGGCTGCTGCGGCTGGAAATCCTGGTTGGAGTTTGGTCCACAGAGAAGCAGAGAAAGCCACACAAAGTAACTTCGGTGGCAGGTCTCGTGTGAAGAAGAGCGGCTACCGGGGCTTGGGCAAGGCCACTATTGCTGGAGTGGCAACTTTCCAAGGAGATGCACCGGCGAGGACTGACCTGGGCCGCTCTGACCCTTGTTCTGAGGAGCCCATGGAAGACTTAAAGCGCGTTCTCGTTGCCTGCCTCCGGTCGTGAAGGGCTGAGGGTGCAGATGGCCGGAGAACGGCGCCCCTTAAACTTCCCTCAGCAAACGGCGCTCGACTGGCTTCTTGTAAAGAAGCCCTCGCCGCCCTTTTCTCGGCTGATGCCCAAATGTCCCAGGAACGGGCCTTTTCCGCCCAAGGGTCTGCTAGGGCCTGGGGAAGGAAAGACAGAGAAGCGTTTCCCAAGGGGGGGGGGCGACGGGACACGAGGGTCCTGTTTTCTCCTTTGCTTTCTGCAATCCGATAGGACAGAGCACGAGCAATGCTCAGTGAAAAAACGCAGAAAGCCGCGTGGATGTCGTGGGTATTTAAACAAAGGCTGTGTTTGCGTTTGCGTCTAGAGTCCTGCCGCTCGCGCCGCTGGCCTTCAAGAACCCATCCCGGCCGAGCGGTGGCAACTCCTGTAAGGGAAGGTGCATCCGGAGGAATTCCGCGATGCGCCGTCCTCTTTGGCTCGTCACGTCCGGAATTTAGCAGAGTTTGAGTCCCCTATGTTAACCCCGCCACCACTGCCAACTTCTTGGCCATTTGTTCTTAGAAAAGGCAACCAGGATTGTTTTATATTCGATCCTATAAACAGTTTCAGTAAGAACCCCTCTGGAACCTGCTAGATAAGGTCAGATAAATACTCATGGGCCAAGAAATGCATTTCCTCTACACTCCACAAGCCTTTAGTGTTCAAAAACTTAACGCCTTCTTACCTGAGAAAATTATGTAAGAAATAAATATCAAGTAAATTATATTTTTAATTTTCTCGTATTAATTCTAACTTATCCTAATTATCAGTATTTATTAACAGCTAAATTTATATCCTGCCTTTTATGCAGGAGCTCAGTTGGGTTTTCATTTTGCTCCATGATAACCATCCTGTGTGGCAGGCTAGACTCAGGGAGCAGGACTGTTCCAAAATCACAATTTCTCTGGCTTGGGGGAACCTGGGTCTTCCTGCTCTTAAATCCATCCATTTAAATTGTCATATGATACCAACATATCTTACTAAATAAAGCAGCTTTCCATAAAAGAGAGTGTTCGTTTGAGAAACAGTCCTGCATAGTGCTCTATAATTGCTTTGGGGGGGGGTGTCAGAAGATGCCATGGCTTTTAAAACAAAGGCACTTATTTTCTTGGCTTGAGGACTTGTTCGCACCTTGATGGAGAAACCTTGAGTCAGTATGTACAGTGGACTGAGGCCCTTTGTCCATTCAGAGTTCTCTCACTTTGGATTGTTGAGGACCCTCATTGCAGGATGAGGGTCCTCAAGAGATAAATATTTTCACATTCTGGTGAAAGAGGCTCCCTGAGGATCGGCTCCAGCATGAATCCAAAAAGCTCGGAAGAGTAAACCTCTGGTCCTAGTGACTGACCCAGATTGGATCCTCCAACATTATCCTGGGACACGTATATTTGCCTTCATTCATAAACAATTTCTGCTGATCTTTCTCTTTCCAAGAAACAACTAACCCTTTCCCCACAGTTAGGTTAAGCCCTGAATGTCATGGATTCAGTACGGAGAAGCATAACACTGAGGAAAAATCCCCAGTTCTTTATTCAACCAGCTTTATATGACAATAAAAAGCAAAGGTTTTTTTTATAGAAGTTGAAAGCTGATCATCTGCAAGCATTAGTCTGTGTATCTGGGTTTATTTCTAGTTTTAGGCAAAATGGACCTTTCAGGAGGGCAGGAGACCTTTCAGGAAGCCCTTGCAAAGGAGTTGGGGGGTGTCAGCTGACAGAAGATGGAAGTTTGGGGTTTCTGAGCTTGTTACTATATTGCAAGCCACCTCCTAGGGCTGCCTGGGTGTAATAAAGGCTTTTATTCCTTCGTTTAGAATGGATTGCAGGGGAGCTTCAGCTGTGCCAAGGATAGTCAATTTGGACCTAACAGGATTAAGCCAAGAGAGGACTTGGCCTGACCTTGGTCATATCCAAAAGAGAACACTTGTTGGTGACCTCTCCACTGTGTTTATTTTCTCTGTCACCCCTTTTCAGCACATTATCAGCCAGCAGAGATGGTGGCTCCATATAACTGCGCTTCTATCAGGACTTCAGGTTGGTCAGGCTGCCCCTTCCTGTGAGACCTCACTTAGGCATTCTAATAATAATAGGAAATAAATAAATGATGTAAATATAATTTCTAAGGGGAAAAGGAGACACCTGAGACCCCATCAGGACTGTGTAGCGAGCTAGGTCCCCATTGAAGATGTTCAAATGTTGTGGGTATTCATGTACCAGAGATGGTTTGATAGTGGTCTCTACCAATGCTTGTCTGCCCATCCTCTGGAGATGCCTTGGAGAACAGAGGTGAATTCCAGAACTCCTCAGGAAATACTGGATGAGGCTCTTGTGAGACTGACTCCTCCACCTCTGAGAGAGAAGGCAAGGCCAAAGCCTCACTGGCCCAAGACAGCATTCCCATTTGTGGATACAGGCCCCCAATGTAGGTGTAGGATGTTCCTAATGAACAGAGAAATAACTTGCTTGGGAAAGGAGCTATGCTATTCACCACAGGGTCTTCTTCTTCTTCTTCCAGAGGATTTTATGGCTTGCAGCTGGTGGCCTGACAGCTCTGCTCTTTAGATCTAACTGCTGCATTCAGGCAGTGGAGGAAGCTGGGGTGCCCGCTCTTGTTATGTTCACTCACCACCTTGTCCTCACTTAAGCAAAATAAAGCTTTTTGTTGGAGAAATGCTTATTGTTGCTTTTCCTGGTATTAACATTGTGATCATTTCCCTAACCAGTGTGGACACCAAAAGTGACTTGAATTGTGTAGTTTTCATCCCAGTTCACTGGCCAGGCACTATAATAAATGCCGCTCCAAAGCTCATCTTTAGACTCTTGTATTCTTTTCTCGTTTTCAGAAATGAAGTGCCATCTAGCGGGTGCAAGTAATATGGAAAACTGGGAGTCCACTTTATTTAACTTTATTGCTTCATTGAATTGTATAAAAAAGTGAGAAATATTGCACATCAGTACATTTATATTGGGATTATATTCTGACCAGAGGCATAGTGCTTGTCACTGTGATTAATATTATTGGCATGTAGAAATACCTGTGGCAAAAAATAGAATTGAATTCCAATTTTCCTTTTTTAAAATGTGGAGGTGGCTAATGACTAGAACATTTAAAAGTTAATTTTGAATATCAAACAGATTTTCCTAAATATTTCACATTAGATCAGATTGATGATTCATCTCAAAGGCAAATGGTGTACTCATAATAAAGTCATCTGTCATTAATCCTCAGGAAATGACATTTGTCCTTTAAGAGGAGGTGTGAAATCTCTACAAGTGTTTCAAGAGATTCTGGCCATAAATATGTTTTTTAGTATAGGTTGCTCAGCTTTGTTGCTGCTGCTGGGAACAGATAATTCTTGCCTTTTTCTGTAGGGTATAAACCTGTCCTTAAAAGTAAGAAATGTTTTAACAGAATTTAACAGAATAACAGAGTTGGAAGGAACCTTGGAGGTCTTCTAGTCCAACCTCTGCACAAAAAGGGGATCTTATACCATTCTGGACAAATGACTGTCCAATCTCTTCTTAAAAATCTCCAATGATGGAGCCTACGCAACTTCTGAAGGCAAGCCATTTCACTGATTAATTGTTCTATCTGGTTGTGTTTGTCTGCTGGCCTTCACTTCTCTCTTAATGAACTGACACAAATGCAAAATGTACAGTGCTCAGTTTAAGATGTGGGATTGGAACCCAATCCAAAACCAAGCAAAACCTCCCCGCACCTCCTCATGCAGGGATCTCATCTAGGGTCAGGAGAAAACCTGGCAAGGCCCCATGCAATCAACAGGGTTTAAATATTAATGAAGTCTCAATTCAGAGACTCCTATAAAACTTTTTAGAGTGTCCCAGGAGCCAGAGACCAGGTCGTTTCTCCCCATGATGGTTTTGCCTCTAACTTTGGAAGAAGAGATCTGACCTTTCTCTAAGGACAGGAAATGTTCAAAATCTTTGAGAAGCGGGGATCCAGAATGTCCCAGGATTTCAAGCCCTCCTTTCTTGCCTGCTACCAGACCAACTTTGAAAGATCTGAGGGCTAATTCAGGATTTTCTTCATGGTTTCATGGATCTGAACATTGATGTCAGGTCTTATTGAACTGGAGTAGTGGAAAATTAGTGCTAAACAATAGAAAATATATGCACATTTTAAACGTAATATGTGTATGATTTTGGCTTTTTCTAAGACAAACTACTGTTTGAAATAATCTCACAAAGTGGGGTTCAGCCTAACTGCCTTGTTTTGGTCTATGTGTCACTGCAGCCTTTTTAATCCATTTCCCCAAACTTAATATTGATTGGCCTGTCCATCCTAATGGCTGTAGCCATTCAATTCACAGTCACTTACATCTTAAAAACCTTGAAAATTAGTAATATATGCCTGTCTGGTGAAGAATGAATTCGATTGAACTCCATTCAATGGTTTTTCTGGTATTTTTAAGACTGCATTGTAAACATTTTACTTTAAAAATGCAGCCTTTCTTTATTAAAATTCTTTTAGTAGATTGTTATCGGAAAAAAATCCCTCTAACTCTTATCTATCCCAAGTCTGAAAGTGATTTCTTCATAATATTGCAGCTTGTAAACAGAAGGAGCAAGATCAAGGGAAAGACCGAGGAAATGCACTCAAAAAACCCAGACTGGTCTTTACTGATGTTCAGCGCCGAACTCTCTATGCAATATTCAAGGAAAATAAACGTCCTTCCAAAGAATTACAGATCACCATTTCCCATCAGTTGGGGCTGGAACTGAGCACCGTTAGCAATTTCTTCATGAACGCACGACGGAGGAGCCTAGATAAATGGCAAGTTGAGGGCTGTGCCGACTCAGGCAGTTTGTCCTCTTCTTCTAGCACTTGTACCAAAGCTTAAAGGAAGGGCTGCAAATGTAGTCTTGGTGGAATAGCTTTGAAACTACCCAGAGTTGAAGAGTTGGGTAGTATATACATTTAATATATTATTATTATTATTATTATTATTATTATTATTATTATTATTATTATTATTATTATTACTAAAACAAATGAGCAGGACCTCAAGAAAGCAGGTTTATACTTAACATTATTTATGTCCAAAGAAGCCAAAGACTTATTTCATCTGATTTTGAATTCGCTCTAAATAAAAAAAATTCATAGAATGGCTTGCAAAACAAAATTGTTAGAAGGAAATTGAGGGAGAAAACTGATTTTTACATCTTCCCTTTATTCTTGCACTTAACCCACACTCTTTAATCATCTAATGTTGGAGCATGGTGATAATTTGTTATCAAAATAGATGTCCTCAGATATAGCTCCTCGTGTCCATGGCAAAACCACAGAGATGAACATTTAGTGGATGCAACAGTAGCAAGGAAGTTTTCCAGGGCAATCAGAAGCCTAAAGCCGCAAGTTAATATTCATTTTAACAATATGGTTCATGTTGATGGTCTGCCAATATACAGTAGACTCTGAATACAAGTTGAAAGAAGGTAAAGACATTTTGACTTTTATGCAAACCAGTTACATTCTCTTTGTTTGCTTAGAAATAGAGCTATACCTTTCCCCAAACCATGGTTTCCTTGCAAAAGGATCAAAATAGTACCAAAGAAAACATTTAATATACTGTTGGTATTTTGTTGTGATTATTTTACTACTTCAAAGCTATTTTTACATTCAATTCTATGCAGAGTTTAGGGATAAACTAATTAATAGTAACAACACACAAGACAGACTGTTATTCTACCGGTAGCTGTGAAAATATTTTTCATTGATTTCCAGAAGCGATCAAAGCATATAGCTCACACCCACGTGAAACTCAGGTTGTCTTTCTGCATCTCAGAAATCTTTTTTATATTTAATCTTCTGCATAAGTGTACTTTAGTCCAACTTTCAAATGCTGTCTATTTTAGATGCATGCCTGCATTTATATAGTTTATGCCCATAATATTGGAATGATTTAAAATGCCAAATCCTGGAACGCAGGCTTAGCTCTGAGCAGAAAACTGACAAGAAGTGGTCTAGAGCCCATCCAAGATACTCATTATTTTATTATTATTTGTTTGTTTGTTGTACTATTAATCTCCCCAGTAATTGAAAGTAGATATGATTATGATTTGGAAGTATCCATGCAATATCTACAAAAATAAAGAAAATGAATATCACTTCCCATGAGAAGACCTCATAAACAAGTCTTCAGCATGGCCTCTTGGACAACAACCCAGCAACAAGGGAATATCAGATCTCCAGCCAAGTGGTCCAAGAACACTGCAGTTTAGTCTGTCACCATGAAGGTGGGATAAAGAAGATTTATTTATTTATTTATTTATGAGACTTATATACCGCTTTAAGTGCAAGCACTCTCTCAGCTTGCGGTGTACACCAGTAAGCAATGTATATATATATTTACATTGCCCCCAACAATCTGAGTCCTCATTTTACCTACCCCGGAAGGATGGAAGGCTGAGTCAACCTTGAGCCGGTGAGATTTGAACCGCTGACCTGCTGAACACAGTCAGCTACAGTGGCCTGCAGTACTGCACTTTAACTGCTGCGCCACCTCGGCTCATTAGATGGCTGTACAATATGGTTTTTCTCCTGAGATACAGTGATGTTGGGATGGCTTTAGAATCATCTGCTCTCATGCCCACTAAATGATCTGTATGTTAAGGGCATGTTCCCAAGGAAGCCAACTTTGGCTTTGTTTGCATCACATTTCTTACACAGCAAGTCATACAGATGACAATCTCTACTACTCTATTGGAACATGCTGGAATTTGTGTGCTGAGGTAACTTCCTTATCTAGTCAGCAGAAAGTTACAACATGAAAATTAACACTGTCATTCTTCATTCATTTCTGCATTCATTTTTTTCTCTCAGTTTATTGCAGACTAACTCAGCAGGCTATTGTTTACTTTATAGTGGAAGGAATACTTCTTCATGTGCATCATGAACAAGTTATTATTTCCACGTGACTAGAAAAATGGTAAAATGGTTCATTACTGAATTTTAAAAAGGCACAGGGAAAATAGGAAACGGGAAAAATTATTAAAAAACATTTTTACAAGATTGCAACAAACAACCTTTTATTTACAGTGCAAGATTGATAGTCATTGTGGCATTATAGTACTCATGGCAAATATAGGTCAAAAAGAAATAGGCAATAAGAAGGGAATTTTGAAAGTTGGTTTTACCTGCATAAATGTGCATTTTGGTATTTATAGATTAAGACTATCTATACAGATAGTCCTTGAGTTACAACCATTCATTTAGTGACATTCAAAATTTCAATGGCACTGAAAACAGTGACATGATTGGCTTTTCACACTTACAACCATTGCAGCATCCCCATGGTCAAGTGATCAAAACTTGGGCACTTGAAAACTGGCATGTATTTATAATGGTTGCACTGTCTCAGGGTCATGTGATCATCATTTGGAATCTTCCCAGATGGTTTCCAACAAGTAATGAGGGAAACCAGATTCGCTTAACAACCTTTATCAAGCAAAGAGAATGTAATGGCACATTTCTATCAAGCTGTTGTACTGATATATTCAGAAACTTACAATCATTATGCAGATTTTCCTTTCAAAATACTATTGTGTCATATGGTTGATTTTACAATAAGCACTGTAAGTTATCTGGAAGAAGCAAAATCAAGAATACTTACGCCTACAATTAAAAAAAGAAAAGTGTTATCCCATACCATTTATCATGTGAAACAGAGATGCTACCTCACTCCATTTTCCATGGGTGATTTTAATTACACTGATGAATACCAAAGATTTTTTTTACACATAGCCTGCATCTGAAAAGGGAACTTGTGCTACTAAACTGCATTTTCTATCTATAAAGTTACTTTTCTAACTGTACAATGGCAACATAATGTTTACACTATTCTTTCAATAACAGTACAATAAAACTCTATGAGAACAGGTTGCAAATCACATTAAATTGGACGAGTGCCTTGCTTGAACCAAAGCATTAAACCACTTTTGACCTCTTTAGACCTTACTGTATAGATACTCTCTGAATACCTCAGCCTAATGGAATGGCCATGAAAAATAAAAGGAATCACAATGGTGATTTTTGCCTGCTAACAAAGGAAAAGAGTTTTGCTTTGAGTTCTGCTTTTTTGCCAGCAACCCAAAGGTTCTTTGCAAGTGGCTTGAATCCTCTGAACAGACAGGCTGGGCATTACTTTGACTAGTTTCTCCAAATACCTCATTGCATTAAATAATTACAATTATATTATAATTATTTGTTAATTGCCATGTTTGCCTTAAGAATTGTATTATTTGTTCTAAAGTCATGATTTGTTACGATGAGGCACTTTCTCATTCTTTTGCTAAGCTTGAGTTTTGTTTTTTTTAAATTCTCCTTGGCTCAAGCTGCACGATATTAATATATCCCAGAGAAGTTACTTTTTCTTGTTTGAAAGGTTTTTTAGTGTTATTTTTGCAATGTACACTTGCACTCTTTATTTTCTAATATTTTATGCTTCCCTGAGTTTATTTAATTTTGTTTATGATACTGTTGTGAATACATAATCATTACATTTTCTGTTCCATCCCTTTTGCTTCTGATTCCTGGAAATGCCTGGCTTATTCAGGCTTCACGCTCAGCATTTTGAATATTCTGATGCCTTACCTTCAAAGTCAGCTGCAGTACACATCATTGTAAGTTCTTTGATCCCAAAGAAGGCAGAGCTGCACTCTGAATGTGTTTATGTGATTTGTATTCTTTCTTTAACATTTTGCGTATGGGTGAGTATAAAGAGAGGAGATGGGAAAAGTGTTAAATACTTAGAAGCACTGAGATCTGTGACAAACTTTATGGGTTTGCCTGCCCCCCTTTCTTTTTGCTGTTCACATAGAGTTACAGATGTAAGAATAATGGAGAACATGAAATCAAGTTAACTTAATGTGAATTTGGAAATGACCTACAATAAATAATGCTAGCAATGAATACTGTTCATTGGGGAAATATGCTGAATGGTTTATTAAGACTTGGGGTAAAATCTATGCTGGATTTAAAATAACACATGGATAAGGGATGGGTCAGGGTTAGGATTAGGTACATACCAGGAATGGAGGACGGCGGGTGGGCGGGGCTGAGGGTGGTCCTTGTGTTGCCTCCAATTTTAGGCTTCTTTATTAACATTTTTAAAAGGTGATATTAGTACTGTTAACATGGCAGTTCAGGCTGCTTCTCTATTAATAAGAAAGCATGTTTTTCTTTTAGTCAAGGCCATTTCTTTCTTATGCAAGAACTCATCTTTTCAGCAACTACAGAATAGAAAGCGTATTCTGAAAGTCCTTGGATGCACTTGCAACTTTCACAAAAGATACAAGCCTAAGTGGAAAAGAGCAATGTAACCCATAATTTTGTCATTTGTGGAATGTTAGCTTAACATTAGAATCAATGTTTTCTAGTGTTCAAACATCACAAGCAATCAATGTATTGTATCTTATTGTTTTATCATGTGCTTACTGGTATCACATGTACCGAATGTACGTATCCTTTGCTTCTATACCCTATAAAAAGACTTGATTCCCCCCTCTTAATGAACGCTTTTTGCTTTACCTGAATTGCTTGGTAGTTTGTATTTTGAGGAGGCCAAGAAGCCCCTTTGCAAAGGTAGATGTGTTTTCTCTCCCAAGTTCATGGAACAGGTTCTTCGCTCCATGCAAAATTCCTGAGTTTTGAAAAAACATTTGGCTCCGGTCATCAGGATGTCCCTTTTTCAGTGGTGAACATGTTAAGGAGCCATTCCCTGTGTGTCTTTCTTTTCCTTTTTAATTTGCACTCAAGTAGAGACCATATCGCACAGGTAGTCTAGTTACAACAGAAATCAGAATTTGCACAGTAAGCATTCCCATTTGTAAGTTGAGGCATCAAGCAAGCAGATAGTATTTTACAACCGCAGGGTTTCTACAAATAGAAATAAATATTTCCCACAGCAAGGAAAAAAAGTAGAGATGATTAAATTCAAAGAAAAGAACATATCTATGTTTGTTTCCATTTGGAAACAACTTCTGGATATATACAGTATATTTTTAAGAGTAGAATATTCTTTATTGGCCAAGTGAGATTGAACATACAAGAAATTTGTCTCCAGTGCAGAAGCTCTCAGTATACATACAAGGAAAAAATGATAATAAATCATAAGATACAACCAACTAGTGATAGTCATAAGATACCAACAGGAGTAGGTAATAGGAAAGGTGAGAAGGATAATAGTAATACAGTCCTACTACAGATTAGGTATCCTTAGGCCCAAGACAGCACGGGGAGAATTAAGTGTTCAGCAGAGTGATGGTATGGGGGAAAACTGAGTCTTGTTTTTTTGGCATGCAATGCCCTATAGCAGTGTCCAGAGGGGAGGAGTTGAAACAATTTATTTCCAGGATGTGAGAAGTCTGTAGATATTTTCACAGCCCTCTTTCAGGCTTGTACACTGGCAGGCTGGCTGTGATTGTTTTTTTCAACTATCCATTGAAATCTATACCTGTCCTGTTTGGTTGCTGTATCAAACCAGACAGTTATGCAAATGACAGACCCGATATCATTTGTACTTCTGTTTGGTTTGACATAGCAACCAAACAGGACAGGTATTTGTGCTGGAAAAAATGAAACTTTGATTTTGGTTTTGCTGACTAAATAAATTTGTTGTTATAGAAGTGGCTAGTATATATTATTGTGTAAAAGCAAAATGCTGAAACTGTAATAGTATTATCTTCTACTGTGCTAAACATAGTCAGAATGTTTTTTCTTTTTTCTTTTACCCCTTCTACCCCACAAATCCATGGGAGAGGAAAAGGAGCTGCCAGAAACACCAGAGGAATACAGAGATCTTGCTGAAGTTTTCAGCGAGGAGAGGGCGGATGAGCTTCCCCCCCCACCGACCCACAGACTGTGCCATAGAATTCAAGCCCGGAGCAAAACTCCCAAAGCCCAGATTATACTCCATGAGCCCAAAGGAGAAGGAGGAAATGGAAAGATTCATAAAGAAAAACTTAGAAAGAGGGTTCATCGAAAAGTGGCCGCTCTGGTCCTCTTTAGAGAGAAGAAGGGCGGCTCTTTATGCTTATGCATGGATTATAGGCTCCTATAATCAGTGAAACCTATACCCCCTAGCCCTCATGAAGGACATGTGATCACACCTGTCGAAAGGAATTTTTTTTACTAAACTTGATCTAAGGCAGTGTTTCTCAGCCTTGACAATTTTAAGGCATGTGGACTTCAACTCCCAGAATTCCAATTCTGGGAGTTGAAGTCCACATACCTTAAAATTGTCAAGGGTGAGAAATACTGATCTAAGGGAAGCGTACTATCGCGTGAGAATTACGGAAGGGGATAAATGGAAGACCACATTTAACAGCCCAGTGAGGTGCTACCAATTCAAAGTCTTGCCATTTGGGGGGCCTGCAGAATTTGATGCAATTAATCAATGACGTACTAATGGAGCACATATTTAAGGGGATCCTTGGTTTGCTGGCCAGCTGTGCTTTGGCGGCCCGCCAGATCGCAAGTAGAACAGTGCCGAACCCGGCACTCGGTGTGATTTCCCTCTTTTCTTTTCTTTCCTTTTCTTTTCTTTTCTTTTCTTTTCTTTCCTTTCCTTTCCTTTTCTTTTCTTTTCTCTCTCCTCCTCTGCCGAGTACACCGGCGCCCAAACCCAGCACTTAAAGTCCCCACTCCCTGTCTCTTTCCCCCCTAACGCTAACCCTAACCCTAACCCTAACCCTAACAAATCTATCTATCTATCTATCTATCTATCTATCTATCTATCTATCTATCTATCTATCTATCTATCTATCTATCTATATCTATCATCTATCTGTACACACATACATAGGTACACATATATACATATACATGCACACACGCGCACGTGGGCACATGTACATAGACACAGACATGCACAGATACACCCACGCGATGTGCATGCGCAAAGACCCGCACGTGCACGCACACTCCGAGATACACACTCACACTACACGTGCACGCAGCCGCACATGCACACACACACAGGCAATGAGACATGGGCATGCACAGACACACACACACACACAGGCGTGCACACGCAATGAGACGCACACGCAGACACGCAGTCATGCCTGCTCATGCACACACACGCAGAGACTCGCGCACATGGCATGTGCACACAGATGCTCATGCATGAACACACAATGAGATGCGCGCACATGCAATGATATGTGTGCACATGTGCTTGCACACATACACACATACACAACATGCATGCGTACACATGCACAGATATGCACACACAATGAGATGCGCACGCATGCGCTACCACACATACACACATTCTACATGCACACAAACAAATGCGCAGAGACTCACGGACAGACGCACACACACGCACATGCAATGAGATGCACGGACATATGCGTAGAGACATGGGCACATGGCGCACACACTAAAACACATGCATGCACATGCAAGGATGTGCATTCAAGTACTCGCACAAGATGTACATGCACAGACACACACGGACATGCAATGAGATGCACATGCACACGCTCGCACCCAGACACGCATACATCGACACGCACGCACAGAGATTCACGCACAAACGCACATGCACATGCAATGAAATGCACACAGACATGCACGCAATCGCGGACGCTCACACACGCGCACACACATGCAGAGACTCACGCGCATGTGGTAACAAATACAGATGTGCACGCATGCCCATGCAATGAGACACGCACGCACACACTCGCACACAGAAGCGCACACATAGACATGCATGCACATGTAATGAGACATGCGTTCACAAAGACACGCACACACCGACACACACACACACACACACACATGCACAGAGACTCACGCACAGACGCAGATGAACGCACACAAAATGAAACGCACACATGCACTCAGACATGTATGCATACACAGACACGCAGTGTGCGAGTGGCTGGGCAGCTGCGCTTAAGCAGCCCCTGGATCGTGAGTAGATCGCTGCCGACCCCGGCACTCCATCTGATTTCCCTCTTTTTTTCTTTTCTCTCTTCTCTTGCCATTTAGACCGGCGCCCAAACCCGGCACTTGGAGTCCCCTCTCCTTGTCCCTTTCCCCTCCTAACCCTAACCCTAACCCTAACCCTAACCCTAACCTTAATCCTAACACACAGACGCGCACGCAGTTGCACTCTCTCATGCACAGAAACACAGACATGCGCATGCACGCAGAGACATGCACAGAGATTGAGGAACGCACATGCATGCACACACACATGCTCACATGCACACAGATGCACGCACACACTCATACACAGATATGCGCATGCAGAGACACACATACACACAAATGCACAGGTGTGCCCACGCAATGAGACGCACATGCAGACATGCTGTAAGGACCCACCCCACTTTGCATCTTAAGAAGACAGAACTCTTGGAATAATTCTTCCAACAGGAATCCTTTATTAAGAGAAAATGGTTGCAGGCATGCTAGACAGGACTTGGGGTCCAAGCTCTCCCATTCAAGGTTTTAAGGGGTTCCCCAGTAGTCCCACCCAATCAACCCCCCTTCCAGTGATAGTTTCAAGTATCACAATTCCACCTCCTTTCTTCTTTCTTCCGTCTGGATGGAGACTTCAGATACTACATGAAAGGCAATTACCCTTCTTTGATATGTTAACGCTTAGAGGTTACAATAAACACACATTCAGCTCTTTGAAGTGTAAAGAAGGAAGTGAGGGCCATAAAGCCCCTTTGCTCTCCCCCTTCTCTCCCTCTTATGGCAGATCCAGAGAAGGCAGAATTGGGAGTTTCTATATTTGATAATTTAAAGATGAAATATAATTGGATTCTGACATCCGGCCCCTCTTAACAATAAGAGAGATCCACCTGAAAGAAAACGCAAGTAAAAATTTAGTTAGGCTTGTTAGGATACTCTGTGTGAAACTTCTTCAATAGCTTCGGGGCTCTGACATGACGTTTATGGACCCACTCATTTTGTGAGGGAGGGAGGTGTTTCCAGGCAACTAGGTACTGAGTTGCTCCATGATATCTCCTAGAGTCAAGGACTTCCTTTATTTCGAAGTGTTGTTCACCCTCCACCATGATTGGAGGTGGTGGGGGGGGGATTTTTGGCCGTAGAGGTGACTGATGCTCTCTTTTCAGCAAGCTGCAATGAAAAATTGGGTGTATTTGCCTGAGATTTTTGGGTAACTCTAATTCTACTGTTACTGGATTTATGATTCTTTTAATTGGAAAAGGTCCTATGTATTTTGGTCCAAGTTTTTTACAGGGCTGTAGGGACTTTAGGTATTT